ATACAATATTAAAATAAGGCGATTTCAATCAATATATATCATGTTGCCATCATTTTCGGATGTTTCCATAGGCTTTTGTTGCTGACTGTACAAGACCAGCTGATTTCCCCGAAGTGTCAACTACAATAACAAACATGGATATTTCATTTTACTTACCGAAACGGATTGTCAACTGTTAACTTTTGATGTAAAGAAACAAGACGAAAAATTCAGATTCATTATGAACAATACTTTGCTGCTTATGGCAGAAGCTATGTTTGCTAAATTGTCAAAGATGCGACAGACTGCCTGACAGCAGCCTACACTACACACACAAAGAACACTTATTACAGCACGAAACGACGAAACAGACGTTCGGTTCAATGTTGCTGCTTGCTGTTGCCAGGCAGATCAGTTGTTGCCAGTACCAACAGCATAAACTTGAAAACTAAAATTACCTGCTCTCATATCCTCCCGTTTTTATAAAAGTAAATGTATATAACACCATGACCTCACCTCGTAAGCTAATCTATGAATATTTATACTTACGAAAACCTAGTAAGTTAAGCTATATAAAATAGTGTCACTTTACCTTGATCTGACATATAATTTTTATTGTTGTAGTCTAAAGCAAATTTATTTAGAGTAGTAAATACATTTTATCGTCGTTGTTATCCATACCATCGCCAGATAAATCTTCAGCATATCCCAACATTTTATAATTTTATCTCAACACTTTGGAATACACGTTCCGTAGGTTTTAATGAATGCCAACACACATTTATCAGAGGTGGCAGGTTGATACGCTTTCTCCCGTCAAGATGCCCCCTGACATCCTACAAACTCCAGTTTTCACCAGAGGTTGTTGTAGCACTCCCGGTACGTTCCCGTTAACCAGCCACCACGCACGCTACAAGATTATCAACAAGATGCCACCCGACTACCTGCCATCACGTTGAGGCGGGTTAACGTCACGGCCGCCTTTAACTACAGGCCGCGGTCTGGTAGAATTGGCAACGTCGCAAGTGGTGTTGTTTAGTGACAGACGTCCCATAAGATAACATGGCAGACAGGTGACATCAGCTCATTAATTCGCAATTTATTGATTTAAATTTATGAAGATACATTTATTAAAATATTGAATATAAAACATAGAGAATTGAAGGGATGTTAAAGGTGGCCGTGGTTAACTTGCACGCTCATAAACAGGCCCGCCTCCCAACAACGTGCCAATACAACAACACACCACCACACAATTTTCCAAAGTGGTTTGTTATCGTTCACTCTCCCGTCTAGGTGCTGCCCCCATTTCAACCACTACTTGTGCGCGTGATCTAGGTGTACTAGGTGTGTGATCTTCATCTTGACTACTCCTTCGTTTTGGTGGCAGATTGTCGGGGTTGCACGGGCTTAACACGTCCCTAGGATGTGCCCTGCGATGGTGTCTCAAACCTTCTATTATTACAGAATAATACAGAGTGCGGCAGAAGGGATAAATCAGAGGTTGATTTGGGGAAACTCACATTCATGTTGCACTCAGAACGAGCATTTCCCTGTTGAGTTTTGAGTCAAATACAAGATTGTGATTATCGTATTCCTGGTTCTAACTACTGTAAGTAAGTAAGTAGTAATCTTTTGTACGAACTGCAAAGCGTTAAACATTTCAGTACAACCATAGAGCCATAGATAAAACATACACTCGTCGAACAGATGTAAATAACAATCCCTAGCAATTTTCCAATCTTCCTCCCTATATATGGTTTAAATTCCAAGGTGGGACAAGTTCGGAATTGCTTGTTCGATTACGCTTATATTTATAAAAAGATTCCTTGCTCGGGACAAGCGGTTAACGCTCCTGGCTCTGTTTTTCTACTTGAGGTCTTCTGCACTTAACGGATCGACAATAAAGAGCGAACTAATATTCTGAAAAGAGAGGGGATGCTCAGGCTCAGACAAAGGGTATAAGATATAAAATCTTCAACAATCGGACCCATGTTATCATCATTGCCATATTTGTTTTCTATATGGAAAGAAAGGTGCGCTGCGGGCGAACCACAGTTCGGGACGGAGTGCTGTGGGCGAACCACAGTTCGGGATGGAGTGCTGTGGGCGAACCACAGTTAGGACGGATGCGATCTTGGGGAAAGGAAAGAACCTAACTTGCAAAATATGATTATACCACACCAACACCTACAATACAGTTAAATAAGCAGTAAACCTACACCCCCTATACCACACAGTTATATCCCATGTAGCACAGATGGTTGGGCCAACGTTGGCCAACTGTGGAACAGTTGGTCGATGGTTGGTTGGAGCTTCCACAACCAACCAACCGTTGTCCAACTGTATATCTCGTAGTTGGGCCAACCAATATTTACAACTGTGGACCAACATTGGTTCATTGTTAATGAAATACATTAATATGCATTGCTGGGTATCATACATCAAGCCAACCGTTGTCCAACCGTTTTTCACTCCGTTGGACCAACAAAAGATACTTTTGTTGGACCAACGATGGTCCATAGTTGAGTTTTACACGACTTTCATTCTCTGGATCAACTAATATTCTTGAACTTATTTGCAACAATTTAAGGGGAAAGAGTAATTAATCATATAACAGTCAATTATAATAGCATTAATAATCTAACGGTAATTAAATAATCTATATTCAAATACCAGTATCCTCTATAACTCCCCCCCAAAAAAATAATAACTACTTATGATGCCTTAACAGATTAGAATCATATTATACTGTGTAGTATCAAAATTGTTTCAAGTATTGCGACCATTGCAACTGTCGGCTACTCTTACACCACTTGAAAACTCTCTGTATCAACAATCGCAGATAGCTCAGAGGTAAGGTAAGAGGCTCATAAGTCGAAGGACCCGGGTTCAAGACCCGTCTGGGCCAAAAAAATTTTGTTCTAGCTTTTTTTCAAAATTTGTTTTTATGAACTATTTAATCAATTTACTCAACTAATAATTATGCTTTTCATACTAAATCTTTAATATTTTGTGTTAAATAAAACGGTTGGTTGGATATCAGTTGTGTTATGGTTAGTTGGCCATCAGTATTTTTGGATAGTTGGGCCATTGTTGGACAATGGTTGGTTGGAAAACAGTATAAAGAGGTGACATTTCTACCGTTGGCCCAACCATCTGTGCTACATGGGATAAGACACGCATGCACTAGTAACCGCTAAAAACTACAACACCGGCACCTAAAATACCTTCAAGACGCACATGTATTAGTAACACTACAACACCTTAAATACCGTTATTCTAGACACACGTATTAGTCACTACTAAAACAACACCTGAAATATAGTTATATAAAAACACAGACGTATTTGTAACCTAATTACACATGCTGTGGGCGAACCACAGTTAAGGATCAGGGACTGCTGTGGGCGGACCACAGGTAAGGATAGTTTATTATTGCTATGAGCTGTGGACGAAACACAGGGAAAAGGAATTAACGCTAACTATAACTAATTGTGTTGGCGAACCACAGGGAATTATTGCTAACAACAACTAATTGCCGCGGTCAAACCACAGGGAATTTAAGCTCACTAAAGCTAATTACTGTGGGCGAACCACAGGGAATGGGAATTATCACTAACTATAACTAATTGCCATGGGCAAACCACAAGGAATTATCGCTAACTAAAGCTAAATGCTGTGGGCGAACCACAGGGAAAAGGAATTAAAGTTAACTATAACTAATTGCTGTGGGCGAACCACAGAGACTAAAGCTAAATGCTGTGGGCGAACCACAGGGAAAAGGAATTAACGCTAACTAAAACTAATTGCTGTGGGTGAAACACCGAGAATTATCGCTAACTATAATTAATTGCCGTGGGCGAACCACAGGGAACTAAAGCTAACTAAAGCTAATTGCTGTGGACGAACCACAGGGAAAGGGAATTAAAGTTTACTATAGCTAAGTGCTGTGGGCGAACCACAGGGAACTAAAGCTAATTGCTGTGGGCGAACCACAGATAGGATCGGAGGATGCTGCGGGCAAACCACAGTTAACCCACATAGCACAAGTACATCAATTTGACGTAAAATTGATGTCAAAGACGTCAACGTCAATGATATTTTGTACGTCATTTTGACGTCAATGAAGATCAATATGACGTCAAAATGACGTCAATATGAAGTAAAAAAGAAAATAAATTTTATGTAAAAATGATGTAAAAAAATTGATGTCATTTGACGTCTTTTTGTTGTAAATTTGACGTAATATTGCTCAGTTTTTTAGGCAAAATGATGTCAAATTCACATCAAATTGACATCATTTTGTTGAGCAAAAAAATGTAAAATTGACATTAAAAAAATGTAAAATATTTCCCCTAATTTTTTATAAAATTATCGGTAATTCTTCATAGAACTGTAATTGTATTCATATTAACTTTCAATGTTACAAGTGCCAAATATTTTATAGTTCTGCAAAATCTTAATGAGACATAATTGGCAAATCTTTTGCAAAAAATCTGTTGGTACCATGCTGAGGAAAACATGTAAATAAATACATAACCTAGCCTATTTTACAAACACTGTACAAAGGTAATAAGTTTTGTTACAAATTGTAAAACAAATGGATGACCTAGGCATCAGCTGATGAATTTTCTGCCTAACAGATAAAATAACTAGGCCTACTATAAAAATACTGCACTTTATATTTGTTAGGCTTAAATTTTTTCAATAGCAGCGTTTGACATTGGTATAAACTTTTTCAACAGCAGTGTTAGACATTGGTATAAACTAACTGTGGAAAATATATTTTTATGCTATTTCTTTCTGATCTATTTAAAATTATGGTGTTTATATTCTAAGGTTATGTAAATAACAATATAAAAGTATCTTACAAAACGGAAATGATAGGCTTTATAAATTTCATACAGAATCTTTTATGTAGCCTACTTTTTACATTTTACTGTACAAAAATATTTTCAATTTATGATATTTTTACAAATAGAATAGGAATTAATTATGCCGGAAAATAAAACCTTGAGTACAAATAAAAATATTTATTCATACAATAAAACTAGGTACATCATTAACATCCACACTACTTATATAACTCATATTCGCTCTCCAATTCTTCTCTATTGCACCCTCCTGTAACAAGCAATAAATAAAAATGGTTGATTATGGAAATACAAAATAGATTCTTTATAGAAAGATCATTAAATGGATAGCAGCGCACAAATGTTGTCGGAAAGTAAATAAAAGAAACGTCTTATAACACTTAAAACATATATTTACGCTAATACTTAAATAAGCGTAAATGTATGTTTTAAGTGTTATAAGACGTTTCTTTTATTTACTTTCCGTAAATTTAATAACACGTACAATGCTGATCAAGAAGTTACAAATGTTGTGTCAGAGGGCTGGTACTGATTTACCAATGGTTTGAGGGGCTAACCAAATATACAAATACACCTATCCATTTTAAAGACCCAGGAGGAAAGACACGAAAAAGAGGGTGGTGTGACGAAATAGTCAAATTTACCAACTCTTCTAAGAATTAGGACAAGATTTGGCCGGGCTTTGCAAACAAGTGCATGGTTTCATGCTAGCTAATTTGCGATGCATGTGATTTTTTTATAGCCTACTGAGAAACGCTCATACATGGGCATTTTTATTAATAGCCTATAGGCATATATTTGTTGATTTTATTTATTGAAATGAAAACATTTTCAGAAATATTTACCCTTAGTTATGTTTAAAAATATGAGGTATTATTTGTAGTTATTTCTAAATAATTTTAATAGACAGCGATTTATTGCTTGATAGTTTGTGAACTTAGCGTATTCAAAAATTTTACCCGTTTAACCCATTAGAGTGGAAAATTAGGACGGTCCAAGAAATTTGACCAACAAGGATTATAAATTAAAATCAAGCATAAAATTAATTAAGAATCCATTTTAAACGAACGCAGAAAAAAACAAACAAAATTGTATTCACGAAAAAGACTAGGCCTACCCATAGAACCAGCCACAATCAAATTCCCTCCTCGGAACGCTCAGAAGGAGCCGATAAAATTTAGGGGTCGATAAAAAGCTGTTTCACTCTTTTTAACTGATTAGTTATTTTAATTTTATCGAAGGGACCCTAGGGGATTTTATAGAGCTCTAGAAGTGCTCATGAAATCTAGCAGACGCTTAGGTGAGAGCTATCTCATATTCACCCTAAAATTGGTCTAGCTTTAAGAATGACTCTGTAGTCTAGGTCCGACTAGTATTCTACCCTGGCCGATTCAATAAAACGAACCCGTCTTACACTTTTAAATTATCTGACGAAAGTGGGTAATAAATGAAAGTCGGCATACGGCATAAGTACTATGATTAACTGGAAAAAATATACTGTAATATAAAAATATAGAATCTTCGGGGGCCTGCTTAGGATGAACACAGAATTGATCAAGATATGGTAAATACATTAATGGTTAGGCCTACTAACTTATTCTTCATAGTGTAGATCCAATTGGGGTACTCCCAAGACCTAATTATATCATACCCAATATAATATGGGGTTAGGAATATGATATCAAGTCTCTGGATATTATAACTACATATTAAAGATTTACTAATTAAACTGAATGGTCGTAATCTTGAATTAATTAATTAATACAAATCTAAACTATAGACACCGCTAGTACTAAGCCAAGTTGGCTAAATGTATTTGATCAAAATCGGCCTATTTAACATTTTATCAACATAAGTCAATAGCCAAGTTGACCTTCTAAATAAATTATCGATAATTGACGTAGTCAGTCTAAGATGCGTAAGTAGCGTTTAACAGTGACAATGTTATCTCGTTGTTAGCGTACAAACTAGTTTAATCTTGTATCTTGGTCATGCTCCGATTAGGCTACAGTTAGATTGAAGCTTAAACAAACTTTTAGTGGTGAATTAAAGTACTAGCCAACAGCCTACTTGATGTGACTATAACCTATAACAAGGGCCACAAGCCCTTACCCATACAGAGGGTATAGAAACTGAAAGTTGGTGGAAAATTACTGTTAGGTCTAATTCGTCTCTTAAATCACAACTCTGAATCCCTCTTTTGAAGAGCTAATTATATATCCCAACCAAACCATAGAACAGTAAACAATCCCTATTGCCACAACAAAACAAAATGTCTTAAATATAAATTAAATCACAACATGATTGCTAATTACCTGTAAATGATTTTAAATTTACTTCATCATCATTATTATTATTGTATCTTGAGAGGGAATAGTACTTCAATATGAAGGATTATTGTAGTAATACATGTCGGGATTTGGAAGTGAAAATTAGGCAATGGTTCCTCTGAAAATTAAACGCGGAACCAACACAACCTCAATATCACCAAAAAAAGAACTTAAATAAAAAGTTGGAGTTGTCGTTCATGGTGGATTATTTAAATTATTACGGTGGTTAATGTTTAATGATGGCTAATTAACTTTATGTAAAAAGTTAAATCATGGGCCTAACAATTTATTTTATTTTCATGATTCCTCTTAAGATTTCATTTGTTCATACTTGGGCATATTTCCTTATTCATTTTGTATATGCTACCGGTACCTATAGCTATAGTAACTTCATCAAACTTATTTTTAATACATGAAAGTTAAAAAGTTTATCTATGAAAACTTACTTTAAGTAAGTTAGGCTAAGAAACCTCTAGTAGCATGCCATCCGCAGCCAATTATTTTGAGGTCTTCAACAATGTTGGCGGTAGACCCTGGGCATTTGGAGTTCTTCATCATGATAGCCTCTGTACCGTACTGTAAAGAAGATAGGGTAGTTTTAATTGCGATTGATTGTAATAATGTAACTTTAAAAATGATAGGCTTTTGCTCGGAACAACATAATTACAGTTCTCAATGTATCACACTAGGCCTGCCTATACTATCTATTGTTGTTAGTGAAGTTAAGTCGCGAAGTGGGCAATTCAGGGTTAAATTAGATAAACAATGTTACTGTACGTCAGCTGTTCGTATGTTTACAAAGTGAAAAGCCAATGAAATTAAGTAGGCTACTAAGTAACGGTAACCTAACTATCCCATTGGATATTAAATACCGGTATCCAGCAAATTTTTATGATGGGCAAGATGAACTCAGTTCTCAGTTCGAAATGCAAAAGGTTTACACATATAGGCCTATATAGGTGTAAGTGGTTAAGAATTATAGGCTACTATAAAATATAATTTAAAACAGTAGGCTAGCACACTCTGTGTAGATGGCTCATCCGACTACCTTGGCTATTTTGATAAGTTATTGAGTTAGTCTACTGATTTAAATACTAAACTGGCAGGTCCTGATTGACGGAATAACTTGTAACCTGCTTCAGTTTCCAAAATAAGTTAAGTTAGTACATAATGGTCAGGCTAGAACATTACCTTTTCTTAGGTTTAGACTCCTTATCCAAAAGACTTAACTTAGGCCTACCCCTATGATACCAAACAAGCCTAAAGTAGCTTAACTTACTGTAGAGTAGGCCTACTTCTAAGATAGCCTAGGCTAATTACTTTGCTGCAACCGTATTGATTAAATCGCAGAGGATACACGTCCAGTAACCGAACGTAGATTAATTTTATCGTCCGGCAGTAACCTCACCGGGTTGTGGGGGCCCGGAACACTATAACCACAACGATACTGTACGACGTAGGCTACAGCCATATTCAGTGGTGTAGTGGACAGAGTAGCCTACTCGGCTGATGAACAAGAGTTAACTTATCTAGATCCAATACCAACGGAGGCACTAACTTTTTGTCAAAGATTTAGCTTAGAATACCATTTCTTCTTAACTGTAGGCCTATATATTTTGTTAGATTTGAGGCATTTAACTTATAATTTAATTTTATGAACAGAATTTAACCTTCATTAGATTTTTTCACTATCAGCAAGTATGTTTAGGCTAGTTAGGTTAGGTTATGACAGTAACTGCCGGACGCGTATCCTCTGCCTAATTAAATAGCCGTGGCCCAGGAGTCTATATGAAATAGGCTTAATGTTACCGATTAATGTTAAAGCTAAGTTATTTGCTTATGTTAAATGATTAGTACTTGCCTGAGTTTTGTTGAAATTGGATTTCCCGGTTGAACTTTTAAGGATGCTTCTAGGCCTGAACACTTGTTTTTAAGTAAAACTAGCTAAGTTAGACTAAAAAAACTGTTAACAATTGAAACTACAAAATAATAAATGAAGTTATTAATGTAATAATTTATGTTAATGTTTCAATAATTGGATAATTATAAATAATTCATTCAAGAAAAAGTCGGCTGGTTTTTTGGCTATCACAAAATGAATAACGCAAACACATAACAAACATTAACATTCCACCATATGAAGCAGAGCAGACCAGCTCACTCACTTGACAGGCATGACAACAAATAACTTATTTGAAATAAGTTACGTATTTAATGGACAAGGACCAAAGAAAAAGATAGAGGTACCTTTACTGATGGAGTCAACTAACTGCTTTTAAAAATTTACCTTATAAATAAAGTGTACATAAATACAGTTTTTAATGTAGCTTGCCATAATAAAATGCCTTTTTAAAACAAATATGACATTCTGTACATCCGAAAAGAAACTTTCTTGACTTTTAAAGAAAATAGCGTTGTTTTACTACACGACTTTAAGCACTTATTTGACACTTGTATTCAATGGAACTCTACAATTTGATTAGGCTATGTACTTTTTCACTCTGTAAAATATGTGAACTATAGCTTAGATTAATGTATAACAATCAAGTAGGTTTTTGTACGAGTTAGTATAGAAATTTAGTCTCAAAAGTTTTTTTTCCATTTCCACTTTAAATTATATACAGATTTTTGATCAGTGTAGTTGATAAATTATTTTACGTCATTTTTACGGCAAAATGATGTAAACATTTTGATGATAATTTTTGTTCCAGTTGGATTATGAAGTTGGTTTTGATTATCATACTAACACAAATTATATTTCGTCATTAAAAATAAAGGAAACAATTTTTTTCATTGAAATATTTTATAAAAAAATTGACCACAATTTGACGTCAATATGACGTCTACAATTTGATCAGGACGTCAATTTGACGTCTTTTACTTAATTTTTACGTCAAATTGATGTTATGTGCTATGTGGGAAGGATGGTTTACATCGATATTTACACAGATTTCACAAATAAGCTAGTATTTTGATTATTTAATCAGATCACTCATCTTGATGTCGCACAGTATTTACCTGTTTACACTACTGATTATTTGTCACAATAAACGATATATATTTTTGATTTTAGACGTTTAGTTAAGATAGAACTACACTTGATGTCGCACAGTATTTACCTGTTTACACTACAGATAATTCGTCAAAAACATTAGCTAACTCCCATTATGATAACTTTGATTATAGCCGTTAAGTTAATTAAAACCACACAAAATACAGTAAATATGACTACAACAGCTAAATGGTTTCCGGTTCCTCCTCTGTGGGAGGATGAAGAGTGACGGTAAATTCCTTTTGAATGTAATTACTGTTCAATCAAGTTCAATAAATAATTACATGTAAAAGTATCGAATTATGTGAGGGACAAAATGTCAATGTATGTCTGCAATGATGTTTACTCTCGATTACTAAATATACTGAACAATTAGCGCAAGCAAGTTTTACGTTAAGCTGACTTTATCAGAATGTTCAATGAAACTTGAACTTGTACTAGACTTGAACCAACAGTACGACAAATGTCTAATTCAAAGCAAGGTGATGACTACCTTACACAGAGTTGTGGTCCTTAGTCCTCGTGAAACCGTGCATGGTTGACAGTCGTCTGTCTCGTGTACTCGTAGTGGATAGACGCTTTCGACCGACTCCCTGACTCGACTGTCTATGGCGCAGAGCGCTCGGCGCTGTACGAATGGAAGCCGCCGACACAAATGTTGGCGGGATTTACAAATTCACATTTGTGACATTGCATTGGAGCTAAATCGGCACCTTTCACAAAAAATCTCATGGCAAAATTTAACATGTTACAGAGGATATACAGGTAACGTGCAAAAGGCATAGTACTGAAATGAGACACAAGATGCATTTGCATACGGTACATAATAAACAGGACATAATAAAAATACTAATAAATAGTGCATACAATAGTAACAAGTAGACTCTGACCAAAAAAAACACAAGAACAGGGACAACATGAACGAGAGATAATGTATTCAACCAAGCTTGATCATAACAAAAACACAAGGTGCAACACTACGTTGACTCACTACATGCAAGACTCACAACACTCAAAAATGCATCTCTTCCGAAGACAGCATGACCAACTCCGAAGAACTCCAGGTGGGCATTGTTTTCGAGACGCATTAGACGAGGTACAGGACTCTGGTACATGTAGGAGGTAGAGTAGTGCAGATTGGCAAAGACGTTCTGTAGCCGTGTTCTCTGAGGAACCTGGAAATTCAACATCTGGAGAATCTCGGAGCAGTCCACCAGGTAGTTGACAATTTAGTACAGGAAAATCAGGTCCAATAATGCAGTTTGTCTTGATGAAAGGGGCAGCGATTGTAGTTGAGCTGCAACCTGATCAGTATTTACATCTGTATAGCGAATCCCTGCTCAAACACCAACCAGGCGAAGGAAGCGCTTTTGGACCATTTCCAAGGAATTAATATGGCCAACTTGGAACGGAGACCATACAGTGGAGCAGTATTCGAGAATAGATCTCACCAAGGATACATACAAGATCTTTAAAGTATTGGTAGAGAAAGCACCACTCTTTGAAATACAGGCAATGAAACCCAGAGTACACAATTGGCCTTCTTGTATATTCTCTGTATATGTTCACCTGGGTCCAAAGTAGGGGTTATGAACACTCCAAGATCTCTAGCCCCATATACTCTTTTTAGCTGAATGCCTAGAATTGTGTATAGTCGTAGACAAGCAAGTTCTGAGATTATCCAAATGACATAACTACACACTTTCCAGCATTAAGTTCCATTAAGTTGTTGGTGCACCACATGCCAACGGTATTAAGGGCTTCTTGGAGTTCGTGCTGATGTTGCAGAGAAGACACTTTCCTGTAGATCTTGATATCGTCTGCGAATAAGAGATACTCGCAGCTCAGCTCAACGAGTCTCCAACCAGTGACGTAGCCAGGGGGGGGGTCCTGGGGGTCCGGACACCCCCTTCCAGTCTTAAATATAAAATGTTTTTGTTAAATTAAATGTAAAATGATATAATCATACTGTATTGACGTTGGGTCATTATCTCCAATGCCAAGAGAGCTAAAAAAATACCGTTTTAGGGCCTCTATTTTAAAAAATTTTCCCGGACCCCCCTTTTACCTGGGGGGTATGGGATACCCCTCGGTCGGTCGACCCCCTATTTCGAAATCCTGGCTACGTCACTGCTCCAACGTCATTGAAAAAAAAATTCTGAACAAGAATGGTCCCAAGTGTGAACCCTGTGGCACACCAAAAGTCACCTGAATCGGTTTGGAGATGTTGGATGAAAGCTTGACTCTGAGTGTGCGTCCCGATAGGTAGCTGTCAAACCATTCCAAAAGAGGGCCGGTGATACAGATTATTGCTAAATCTGTAATTGGAAAAGGTATTTTATGGGCCAAAGAGTGGAAATTTCTAGGGCGATAACACGGTTTGAATATTGATTTTTTTAACCCGTTTGAAAAAAAAAAATTGAAATAATATTTTACTTAAATATTTTAAGAAATATATAAAATAAATATTACTAATGCATATTTTTACTCAAACATTTTTAAGCCTTTTAGCAAATAATACACGATATATTAAACTCACAAGTTAAAATATGTATTTGACTAAAAATAGGTTTACTAAAACTTAGAAAATAGTACTGAAGCTATATTTGTTACACAATTGAATTATTTTCAACACATTTTGGAAAAATTATTATGATAGAATTATTTTACTAAGTATTTTATTATTACTGTACTTTGAAATTAATTTTTGCCTCTTCGATTTCTGTTCTCGGCCCAAATACAAAAATCTTGGTTATTGGAACTGGTGCCATAATTTTAGTATCCTAATTGTTACTATAGGATATTTGGTACTTGATACTATAGTCGATTATCAGTTTCATACTTTTCAAAATTGACTAAATGCAATAACATCAAATGCACCCCTCCGTCTATGAGCACATTCTTTAGAGAAGAGAAATTGGAGGATACTTTTCCTAAATGTTCCTAAATTTCCGGGCTGAATGGGCCTCGGGGCAGCACCATACGCCATGTACCATATTACCATGTATATATATACCTGACATTTTATGGAGTTATTTTAGTTAACATCCTATCAGCCAAAAGCAAATTCGTTTAATGTGCTTGTTTGCCATGGCAGGGGTAATAATTCATCTCTTTTTTAGATCCCTTCTATAATATGCAATTTATAAAAAGTATTTAATAAAAAAGTGCTTGCTGGCCCTTTTTTAGGGCATTTTCAATAATCTGGATGGTTTGAAAAATCTGAATGGGCTCAGGTTCCAATTAATCATGATTATTGATGTTTTACTGCAGTGGCGGTCCCAGGATTTCATTTCTGGGGGTATCGAATATCCCCCAGAAAAAAGGGGGTCCGGGGGTCCCCCTGGAAAAATGTGGAATTTAAAGCCTAAAAACATATTCTTATATGTATTTGAGCTCTAAAATATGCTCAAGCTAATAGTATTTATGTTAGTTAGCCAGGGGTGGTTCTAGGACCCTGTCAAGGAGGGGGCTTGGGGAATTAAGTAGGGGGTCCGGAGGTCCTCCTCCAGGAAAATTTGGAATTTTCAAAGCCGTTTGGTGACTTTCTAAAGCCATTTTTAACACATAAAACTGTGCCCAATTGTCCAAAAACTCCCATTTCACCTATTGTTTGTCATGGTCAAGTAGACATTAAAAAAATTAAACTATGACGATTGCATTCATGAATTTCAAAACACACTGTAGACAACGGCCATATCCTCCTAAAAGCCGTTTGGTGACTTTCTAAAGTCATTTGTAACGTCTAGAACTGTGTGCAAAACCTCCCATTTTCCCATTTATTTGTCATGAACAAGTAGACATTTTTAAAAATAACTACAGTAGAACCTTGATAACAAGACTCTCATGGGGATTGTAAAATAATACTTGTTATCAAGGTTGACTTCTTATCGAGGTTTGTAATAACATGTGATTAGGGGTAAAATAATTTTAAGGGGATTTGAAAATGACACTTGTTATAAGGGCGGCTTGTTATCGAGGGTCTTCTTATCAAGGTTCCACTGTAAGACGATTGGATTCATAAATCTCAACATATTGTAGGCCATATCCTCCTAAAAGCTGTCTACTGACTTTCTAAAGCCATTATTAATGTCTATATCTGTGTATAAGTTAAATGTACAAAAACCTTCCATTTCACCTGTTATATGTCATGCAAGCAAGTAGACACGTTTTTTAACCTTACGTTTTTCTCCATTTTATAGATCTTTCACAATATGTATAGTATCAAATTCAGTAATAGCATTATAAACTTAAACACTAGTGTTTGCATAGTCAATGGTAATAGGCTACCGCTACCGTCAGGTGCTACCGCTGATGGCTGATGCCTGTAAGTAAGTAGCTAGCAGACAATTTGACAACTAGGTAAATGAAATCAGCTGTTTCCCTGTCCTCACTGTCACGCTCGCCTTTGCCCTAGCATGACAACAGCTGACTGCTGTAAAATTTGGATGATGCGTACAACTTTCCATGGTTTAATATTGTTTTATTTGTCGTGCTATTGCCCCACAAAGTTTATCTATGTGGAACTTAATACTACTCCTGCCATCGCTTATTAAGTTTAATAAAAACTACATTGATGTCTGTTTTATAATATTACTTGTTTTAAGGACGAAATGTATGTTTAAATTTATTTTTCCAGGGTCCAAAGGGAGGGGCCTTTAGCCCTTTGTACCCCCCCCCCCTTGGAACCACCACTGATGTTAGCTAATAAAATGTAAAATATTTCTGGGGGGGATATATCGCTTCCGCCCCCCCCCCCCCCTGGGACCGCCACTGTTCTAATGTGAGTTTCTTGCTAATAGAATACTCTATGCCTGTTTTTGAGTTAATCAAGCAGCAGATTTGAGCTAATATCTTTTGACTTTAATATTATTTAATGTGGAAGTTCACAATATTCTCTATTGTAATGCATCCTCTGTGATGAATTAATTCATAATTATTACAATAGGTACTCTACTTTGTGCAACCACAATGGGTGACCAGAATGGTGGTCGTCAAACAATGTTCAAACTAACGAAAATTTGCATTTTTGTGGTGGGCGAGTCTGCGCCGAGAAGGTAGCATTGTTGCCGTGGGGGAGGTAGGTTAGTTTAAAGTCTATTTATTGAAAAACCTTCTGGTAAATTTACGGTAGCCTACACCAGCTGACTTCACTAGTCCTTTTATGTAAACATCTTTCTGGTCTCAAAAGAGTGCAGAAACCAGCTGCTCCCTCTGCTCCCTGTGTAGTGTGGTAAAAATATATTGTGTATTTTTTTACTTTTCTATGGCTAAACTGAGAGAAATATGGGAAAATCACTCCTAATACAAGCCTTCACAATCCCTGGTTGAAAAAATGCAGGTTATCAAATTAAACAACTTTATTAATGTGACTTGAATAAAACAAGATTATATAAAAATATGGTAAATGTGAATTCACATCTGTCAGTGAGTGAGAGGGCCCCAGAACATCTTGCTAGGGCTCTTGTGGTCTTCGGAAAGGAAGAATTGTCGGCCAAGTTTTACAAACTCCTTCAAGCTTATCTGGCCATCGTTATTCTCGTCAATCACACTGAATGAGACCACAGCCGCCTAAAAAACATATCAGATCAGCATAAATAATTTGTGTAAAAAGTTATTGACATTAGTAGATATTCTTATGTTTGATGATATAACACAAATTAATAATTTAAGGATACAACATAGAGCACAAGAAGTGAGGATAGCAGGATTGCCTGAATGTGAAAGAGTCCAAACAGGTCCAAGAAACACAAAATTTTACACTACATGCACATAGCACCAGAACATTTCAGTGTCACAAAAACAGTGGGCCTAATGGTGTTGCCAACAGGAATACATTATATATCACAGTTTCAGTCGATCTTGTAATATACTTTATATACGTAAATATGTATGTAAGCCTGCTTATTAGGTTGGTATTGAAAGGTCTAGGTATATAAAGGTCTAGATTTAGGTTTGGGAGTTGTAAAGATTTGGTGAAGCACTGGTAATTCCCATTTTCTCGGTTGTGACTGATTACACTGAGGAGGCAGGGGTCGACAACTTTTGTTGTGTAACAGTCATTAAAATTGGGGTTTATGAGGCTTTGGGCATTTTGTACTACTGGTTTGTCTTTGTATCATAAAAAATGGTGAGTCAGTGGCTCAGTTGGTAGTGCCACGGACTTTGTGCCCAAGGCAGCGATGTTTTGGGTTCGGATCCTGGTACCTGACACAGCTTTTTATCAGTACATTTCACCCTTGAACTGTTCCAGAACACCTCTTACTTTGCTGGGTGTGTTTCTTGCACAGACCTCAGTGGCCCATGTGGATGGGGCAAAAACAAGGCAAAAGAGGCTGCGAACCTCTCTAAAATAACATAAAATAACATCACGTCTGTGGCCAATAATCCTGGTTCTGAAGCTATTGAAGCATATAGGCCAACATACTGTGCATCACATTGGTAAATAATATTCATTGTTTCACGAGTGTTGAAACCTCAGAAATTAATCAAATTATTATTATTTTCACCTCATCATATCTTTCTGTTATTTATTTATTAATTTAGATTTAGTATTTGATAAAATAATGTTATGTTTGGACGCAACTAAAATCGACGCACAGGCTTGATGCCCATGCCGGCTTATTCCTTATCAACATGTACACGCTTTGTTACACATAGATGTAATGCAAAGGTAAATTATATTTTTTTCCTTTAAATATTTATGTACAAATTTGGTAAATACTTTGTTGGAATAAAGATATAATTAATTCATTCGTTCAATTCATTCATTCATTCATATTAAGTTATCTTGTTATCGAACTGGAAAAGGTTTTGCTTGTGGTGTTTATATTATACGTTTTGCACCTTTTGCTTTCACAGGCAAATGACCTCTGAGGGCATAAATTGGTTGGATTATTGTTGGACAGGTCAGGAATTTTTGGGTGGACTGACATACGGAGGTTGTGTGGTTGTCTGAAACAAGGTTTGGCGGATCTGTTGAAAATTTAAAGATGAATGATTGATTTAATTCAGTTTGTCATTTTAAGGGAACAAACCTCAAGTTAGGATTGTAAGACAAAACTCATTGATTATGTGTTCTTTTTTTTTACACTCAGATCTTATGTTTTTTAAATGTATCATATGAATTTTGGCTTCAGTGACCACAAGGTTCAGCCACAATTCTCTGATTACACAACTTAGACAACCCATCTCAGTACACCACTGTGAGTAGAGTATTGCTTTGAAGTTGCAGATTTTGCCAGAAGTGATGCTTTTGAATGGTAGCGCAATATTAAAATACCAACCAGGACCCTATTTAATCAGCATAAATAAAAAAAGTTTAACCAATATTCAAATATGGTACCTACATTGCAAAAAATCAAACAATAAAAATTATTTGTATGGAAAAAAATACATACAAAATTATTTGTATGAACGTGATTGAGAGATAAAAATTTTTCATATATATAAAAGTAGAGTAGAACCCCAGTTAACTGAAATAATGGGGGGAGAGCAATTTCGGATAGTTCCCCCCAGATCCCCCCTACCACTTAGGTTTTTCCTAACCCTCCTGATCTGTTAGGCACGTCGCACACTAAGTCCGCTCATTTCAGTCCGTTTCGCAAATTTCAAAAAAACATGTATTCAAATGTAGAACCCCACACTGGGTCCGCTCAGTTCAGTCCGCTCCGTCCATCTCAGCCAGTTTTGGGTTAGCGAGCGATTTGGATGGAAGGTATGGAGGTGCCGCGCATGTGCATTGCAGAGTTGTCAGTCTTGTGCAACTGAACTCGGGTGGTCTGACACATGTTTGTAGTAGGCCTCCTGGTTGATATTTATTAAATATGAGTTTCGACGAACTACTGATTTCACTGTCACACAAGGATTACTACAACTTTACAATGAAGGAGGCCGCGTGGGAGGAAATATCATTGATACATTGATACTGTGAACCCATAATCATCTCTTTTTCCTTACAATTTTATCATCTTCTTATGCAGCTAGTGCCAATGTGATTACAGCAATTTCTTCATCACTACTGGTGGAACTCATAACTAGGAAATCTCGACACAAGTAATTTACTTGTGAACAATGTCAGTGTTTGTCGTCCACTGGCGTTTGGCGCTCAAAAACGACTGAACTGAGTGGACCGAACTGACGCAGTGTGTGGGAAAACTACCGGAACTGAGCTGACTGACCTGAGCTGAGCTGAGCGGACTGAACTGAGCGGACTCAGTGTGCGACGTGCCTTACCCGGCTTTGCGAAACCCCTCCCATTACAAAGTACTGGCTAAACTACTGATGTAAACTATACATTTGGTAGAGTTAAATTAGTAAATCACTGTTCTTTTCTATCTAAACATTTTGTTACTAACTTAAAGAACATATACTTACTTCATTGGACAATCCAAGACACTGAAAGAACAACTTGTACTCTTGTACGGAAATTAGTCCACTTCTGTCTTTGTCAAGAGCCTGTAATTATTCAAATCAAAATATAGAATACATTATATATTTTAAAATTATTTTCTTATCGCACTACATGTGTCTCAAAGCTTTCATTTACTTGAAAATAAGTAGTTTCTTTAGAATTAGATTAGAATTAGAATTAGATTCCAGTTTCTAAGAAGTTAGAGTACGCTCTAGGAAGTCTTCACATAGTCTCATTTATTTTAAAGGCATTCGTTCTTTAAACATGTGGTTCAGTATTTAATGGTCTTTCGGTTATTGTCTAAAAAGTGTCTTTTGTCTACTATGTCTTTTGTATGATCATGATATTTTTGAGTTCTCTCTTCTTTTAGTTTATAATAATGGAACAGTTTAAATCATTTTGCAGTTGCTACCAAAGATTTACTTGTTATTGAAAGGATCATCAATTAAGGGCCCATCGATAAAAAAGTAGAGCCATTGTCATCGAAATGTATTTGTCATTATAATAAATTGAGCTTCATATTTCAATGAGAAATTGATCAAAAGATTAGTGTACAATGGAGGTGAGATGTTTATTATATCTTAGTTGACTAAGATGCTGTTTCTTAAGCCAAAGCTAAAAGAGTTAAAAGGGATAGAAGGCTTTGTTCATTAAAACACCCATTATCAAGGGCATTTGAGTTCAATAAAAAAAATTAAATCGTACAAGATAGATCCTTTTCAAACATTTGAAGGCAAGTACTTTAACCTCTCTATTTTTTATTTACTTACTTTGAACAAGTAAGGGAGGAAGGTGTGGACCTTCTTTCTAAGCTGTTTGTCATTTATAACATGATGCATATCATCAAGGTATTGCTCCGTGGTGACCATGTTATAAGGGTCAATACTTCCCCATCGCTCTTCCCACATACGCTGTAACAAAAATTAACATTTTTACCCACTAAGACTAGGTATAATCATAATTAACTATCATAATTTTTCAGGTAAATTAATAACACTTACGATGCTGATCAAGAAGATATTCAAATTAATTTTACCGATAATCTGGAATAACACGTTTATGGAAATCTCCGCGTTCGCATGAGATCTTCACTATTTTGCCGTTAACGTAAGAGTTGCCATTCATGTTAATGTAATTCATATTCAATTCAGTTATTTTCCTAAAAAGCGTAGTTAGTTTTAAAATATGTAATAAACTCCATGTACCATGTAACAAATGTATGTAATTGGTGACTTAAAGTTCCATGTGGATCTGTATATGGATCCTGAGAGGCCCTGGCCGTTATATGAGCTATGTGCTGAAACGGGCTAAGATTAGGCGTAATAATGATCCCCAAATCCTTCACTCTGTCTACTTTGGGTAGAATAACACGATTTAAAGAGTAGTCAAAGTTGAGGATCCTAGTCTCACGCTTGAAATTTTATTTATTGAAAATAAGTTTACACGTGAATTTTGTAATTTCCAGGTATTTTATCATGTTCAAATTTATTTTGATTTCTAAAAATGAAGTTTCCTTATCCCTAAAACCATTAAATTACTTACCTTGATAATATTGTTTAACTCCTGTTGATGGTGGGGAGAAAGATGACCGAGGTCTACAAATCGGTCAACTAGAATCTGTAGATCATCGAATGATATAACCCCGTCTTTGTTGAGGTCTAAAATTCCATGGAATGTCCTCATCTTTCTCCTCCAAAACTCACTGGCTCCCTAAAAAAATTCAACTTTAAAACTATTTTAGCAACATGAATGTTAGATAATGGTTCTACATGAAATTTAGCTGTCTCTTAAGTTTTCACATAACACTGAAACAAAAACAAATCATTTGCCTATGAAAAAAAAATTAAGTTACAATTCTGACTGTTCTAAATTGTATATAAATTAAACTGTAAGCTGTAATATGCACTCTTACTAACACCCAATAAATCACCATCCCATGAGCTTACTTTTATCTTAAAATTGTATCATAAAATGATCAAAGTTATCATTTCAATCACAGTAAACAATTTGACAAGTATAAAAAAACTAATAAAATTTCAAATGAGTTGTTTTCTTAAGAGTCTTCCGTAGTGGAAGCCATGTTGGATTTCTTCCCCATAAGAACAATGTTAACTTTGGGTCCAAATATCTCATCAGCAAATTGTCATATAATTATGGATAAGGAGTTAAATTTAAGGAATTGCGGTCCTCTAGAGATTGACGTTTTTTATTTCACAATTTTTAATTTTTATAATGAATAATTGATTATTAATTAGCTTAAAATTAAGCTAATTATTGAAAGGAAATGAAAATGGATTTTCGAAATTCAAAAACCTCAGTCACGAGTCTATTATGTTAAAAATACAAATTATAAATTTCAAAGCTATATCTTAACAAATAACGCCGTTACGTGTCCACAAATGATGTAATGTTTAACATTGTTCTTATGGGGAAGAAATCCAACATGGCTTCCACTAAGGAAGACTCTTAATATACAGGGTGTTCAAAAAGGGTAGGGACATAATTTATGTAGTGATTCCTTGGGTCAAAATAAAGAGAAAATCAACAATCAAACTTTTTCTAAAATCGCTTTGTTAACCAGATATCGCCCATTTTGTATTTTTTACATAAACATTTTTATTTTGGTACCTATGTATGTTAAGGTAGAAGCAACCCGTGTGAGAAAACAATTTTTATCTTGGTCTCATTTGAATTTTCAAAATGGTGGCCATTTAAAACTTTTTAATTTAAATTACTTAAAAATGGTTGATTTTATGAAAAATGTTAAGAACACTTTTATTTAGTATTTAAAGTGCCCTATCCAATGACACCAAATTCAAAAAGATCAAATAAACAATAGCTGAAATATCAAGATATTTTTGTAAAATGAGGTTGAAATGGGGCTAAGCTAGTCCGGTTTCAGGTTTGCCTTGTTTTACAACTAAAAATCGTGATAGTTCAGTTATTTTTTATTCTATCTTTCTTAACTTGGTGTCATTAGATAGGACACTTTAAATACTAAATAAAAGTGTCCCTGACATTTTTTTATGAAATCAGCCTTTTTTAGTAATTAAAATTTAAACTTTTTAAATGGCCACCATTTTGAACTTTTGAATTGCACCAAGATAATTTTTTTCTTACATGGTTCGCTTCTACCTTTTTAACATACATACAAAGTTTCATAAAGATAAAGATGTTTATGAAAAAATACAAAATGGCGGATAACTGGTTACCGGAGCGATTTCGGAAAAAGTTTTATTTTTTACTTTCTTCTCATTCTGACCCAAGGAATCACTATGTAAATTATGTCACTACCTTTTTGAACACCCTATATATTTCAATAACAAGTAGCCTACATTTCCAGTTTTTATGTGAAATTATAAAGAGACCTTTCCCTGTAACGAACATGGAGTTCAAATACGACATATGGGCTCTTCATTATAGCATAGATAAAAGGAGTATTAATGATTTTAGGCAAAATACATACTAATAATGACTCTTCATTTGGGGACTCCGCCGAGTTTCGGCGTTTCGTCGGAGCATGTTTTACATTGGTTCAAATGGAACCCTTTTATGCAACTGGGTTTTCCGTCGGGCGGAATGTAGCGCTGCCAACCTACCCCTGTACTACTGTCATACACAGTATCGAAATCGCCTAATCATTGTAAATAAAGGATCATTATTCATTGTAATAGATTAAAGAGTACAAATAAAGAGATGTAATTGGGGAAAAAATGTACTGGCCGAAAATTACATTTTTGTTTAAATCCGCGGAATAATACAGCTTTACTGTTTTGTAGGAATAATATGACTTTTGTATTCCCGGGACTGACATGGGGATTTTTGTATCGAAGGTATAACCCCGGGATTGATACTTTTTCTTAATATTCTTCTTGATATCTTTCTTTAAGCACAAATAGGTATAAACCAATAAGCAAGAATCCATCTTGGGTCACTGTCACTGATGATGGCCAAATGAACAAAGTTGGCAGCACTGACAACCCCCAACGGGTATCATGAAAAACAGCGGATTCTGCTCGGCGGGGAAACTGCATAAAAGGATCATCGATTCCGCCCGACAATTTCGCCCGACCGAAAACGTCGTGCATAAAAGAGGCCTAAAATATTGTTGTTGACAGAAGTTTATGAAATTACTCTGCTGTGGACAGGTAAATGGTATTGGAATTTTTACAAATGTCTTCAATAATGGAAAGAAGCACTAAAGGAATGGAGATTTTAACTGATTTTGACTTTGAAGCTGCTTTCAGAGTTTACTACTGTCATAGAGGTACTGTCATTGGTTCTTTGGTACTTTCAATACCACATCCTTCTCTTACAAGAGGTGTCAACAGATAAGTAAAGTTGGGGAAGAATAGCAATGAACAGATATACTGTACTAATAAATAGGTTCACTACTGGTAAGATGTGCTGGGACACTAATGAGAGGAGCGATTATGGAGTGGTCCCAGAGGTACCAGGTTCAAATCCTACCAAATCACCAAATGCTTTTAGCTATGTCATAACACCACAACCCTCTATTCCTAGCCTTATGTCCAAGCCTCAAAGCTAGGACTCAATTTTATTGATAGCAATTAAATGTTTAGCAAAAATAAAAATAGCTCTAAATCTACAATTGTTTTTCTCTAATGATCGTGTAAATTTTTATAATATTCAGTTTCATTAACTAGATATAACAATCTTAATCGAGTGGTCAAAACATACTTTCCAGTTTAATGTCTTACCCTTTCTTTGTGCTCAGTTTCATAATCAGAATCCGAGTCGGAATCTGACTCAGATTGATTGACAAGTTCCTGTTCCTTTTTCCCTGAAGCCGACCTGCTATACAGTCTCAGCTCCTTTAAAACATAGAAATAAAATATTATTTAAAAATTTGTGATAGATTACGGAAATATATACATATAGCAGATAAGTTTGGTGCACCATTTTGCACAATACATCTATGGGAAGTTAATTATCAGTAATCTGAATGCTAGTTTTTCACAAATGTTAATGAAAAAGATTTTGAAGCCTTGTTTTAGCCAATTTTTTTTCTTACTTGCTGTGGTCAAAGTTTGGCTAGTGTCCGCCAAAAAAGAGTATCAAAACATAAACAGAAGATTGTTTATATTTTAGGTATAATTTTAAGAGGTTTTTTCTGGTTTTATAAGTTTACATATTTAAGTAACCCCATCTTTTGATTTATTAATGTATTTAAATAATATTTTAAATCTTTCATGTTTTATTTTTATTGATGCTATCTCCAGCGATGGGTTTTAACATAGTATGAGAAACTCTGTATGTACAATGTTCAATTATGCGATGAGCGATCATATGAAAGAGGCATCTATAACAGAGCGATCTATAACAATGATAAGGTAATAGATTCTCTAATGTATGCAATCGATACAAGTTTACTAGGGTCAGGGTGTCCACAGAAAATTTGTCTTTAATTTCCATGACTTTCCATCACTATCCATGTCCGTTTACCATTGATTTCCACGCCTCACGAACTTTACTTGAAAATTATAATACAACTACACACACGAATTGCCTGGACAAGTTATTTCACAGAAAGTGCTGAAATATGTATCAACAGATAACAACAGAGTACAATAGGTACAACAATGAAATACAGACTCAAAACTCATAAACTAATACAACTGTAATAAATTGAGTTGTCGAACATTTGTGAAAAATCCTGAAAAATGCTATAATGGGTTTAAGGCCAACTATACTCCGCGCCAAAGCTGGTGGCGGCTGAGGGATTAGGGCGGCCAGGTCGGTGAGCATGTCCGACCTATGTAGTCCTACCTGGCCGTCCTAATCCCTCAGCCGCCACCAGCTTTGGCGCGGAGTATAGCGCATTGAATGGTTCCCTCAAATCCCTCCATCATTGGAGATTTCCATGACTTTTTGCCTAATTCCATGACTTTCAATGACCAGAATTTTTTTCCATGACTATCCCTGACTTTCCAGAATGTGGACACCCTGTAGGTCATGGTAGCATGAACTAAACTTATGACAATAAAACTAATAACAGGACCAAATATCATTATCTAAAATAGGCTATGACATTGTATTTTCTATCCATCAGCATGTTGAATTTAGCTGGTGAAACCAATAGTCCCACTTTGGTAGCATAATAGAGGTAAGATATAAGATGAAGGTAAGATATAAGATTAAGATATAAGATAAGTAAGAGTAAGATATAAGATTGAACCTCTATACCTGAAGGAGAGGATGGTAAACAGTTCTATCCTGAGCATTTTGAACATATGGACAACTTCCATTCCCCTGAAACAATTGAAAATAAATGTATCAAATATCACAGTGTTAAACAACTATAATATGTAAAAGAAGGAAACATACTACTATATTCTGAATATTTAATAGTTTGCAAAAGTCCTATTGTATGTGAGAAATATTGAAAGATGTTTTGTTGTATTCCTGAAAAAAATCGCTTGTTTTTAACGAATTTCCCATAGCCTTTATTATTGTAGACCAGGACCCGGGACCGATTTCCTTTTTCGTTTTGAGGTCCCTTGAGGCCAAAAACACCATCCGTTCAAATTCATATATATATATATGAGTCCGTTAGCACGATAACTCGAGCAAAAATGATCCGATTTTGATGAAATTCAGTATAAACATGTAAACCTATACATTTGTTCGAACAAGTTCACGAACCAGCATGATGGGACTATGGGAACGGGTGTCCAGGGGGGGGTTTTATGGGGTAAAAATTGGATTTTCTCATTTTTGAAAAAAAAAAACATAAAATTTAGCAATTTCTTTCCAAACCATTTTGTAGAGCTTAAAAAACGAATAATTTAGTATAATGAAGCGTTATTATGCGCCTAATGGTTACGGAGAAAATTCCAAAAAATTTTTAATTTAATATTCCCACGTTATTCTTATAGTGAATAAGTAAACTGTTGTAGTTTACTTGTTTATGAACATATTTTTTATCAAATTTGGAAAATGCATTTATTTCTAACTAAACTATTAACATTTTACAAAAAAAAAAATCACTTTTACCCTCCCTGTTGCAGCAAACTTAAGTACTATTTAAATTAATTTAAATAAGGAATGAATGTGATATTTTTAAGGAGACATTTTACTGTAAATCCAATCGGGCAAATGGAAATTCGCTTAGTCTGCAGGTTTGCTGCGGCGAAGGTATTTTTTGTCTATGGTAATTTGTACACAAATTTACTTTTGCCTGAAATTTGATTCGTGAGTCACCAGTGATCCCGGAGTGAACGTGTTGGCGGCATTGTCACCTAGCCTCTGGGCCAGTAGACCAGAATCATTAAACTAGCCATGCTATGACACTACAGTACTGCAATAAATAATAAGGCATAAATGATTTTATTTCAAAGAACATTCTTTGAAAATGACAGGACTATGGGTAATTTTGAAAAATTATAATTTCACTGTGGGCTTTATTCCTGACAAAAAACATTTATTTCAATTAAATTTGACCATGACCATTGACTGAACATGGTCAACTATCTGATTTAATTAAACAGTGTTGTAGTAAAAAAAATTAAACACAGACCAAAACTTCAAATTAAGATAAAAGTAAAAAGATTCTTACGTGGGTACAAGATTCCTCCAAATATGGCTATTAATCTGACTAGTTTAGATAGTACAGCTATGATGCCATTGCCATTGTAACTCTGAATCAAATCTAATTAATTCACTTTATGAAGTTCAATTAGCCCCTAACTGCTGCTGAGCTCTTCTCTACCACTGTTTCACCCATGTCACAGATTGCACTATCAAGGTCAATATGCACCGAATCTACATACTAAGTCAATTTCCTTTTTTAGTTTAATTTTAAATAGTCTACAACATAAGTAGATTCAAACCTAAACTCAAGCCAGAGGTAAATAGAAAAACATAGTTTCTAGGAAAAATAAACAAGTTTTTAAACCTGCCATGAAGTAAAAGAGTATGGAATAGTTTATGAAGGTACTCTCTCATCATTTCCATAAACAATGATTAAAACAGTAATTAGTTTATTCACCTTTAGGATAACATGCGTGAATGTATGTTTAAAATTTAAAATATCTTGTTATTCCATGGAATAATAATGTAATAAATTAAATTTTTTGTCTCAAGCTGTATTGACTTGTTGTAAACAATAAAAATATTTTTACTTCGAGAAACAAATCTAAGCCCATTAAAAATACACTTACAACGGTTGGATCAGGTCAGTTGGATTTAATTTGAATGTAGGCCTAATAAAATTTCCCAAAATTGGAAAATGTTACAAATTTACTTAAAAGTGTTTTTATTCAACATGACAGAGATATTGGACGTAGGTCTTACCATTAAGACCAAAATTAGCTATTTCCTAATAGGGGAAATTCACTAAAAGGATGTAAACGTTATGATTTCAACTCATAAGCCGTAATTTTAAAAACAAAATCTGACTTGAACTAACGAAAACAACATTTCCAACTCAAATCACTAATTATCACTTCTAATTGGTTTCTCTTGTGTATAATTAGTGGAAGATTGAAGTCTTCATTGACTAGAGCAGAGTTGGATTTTGGTCCAGTTTAGTACTTATTTAGCATAATTGCTACTTGTTTGGGACTAGCATTCCTGAACACAACTTTAAATTCATATTTTAAAGCATTGTCGGAGTACAAAACAAATATTTACAGTAATCTATTATCAGTTGTAGACTTTGGGTTCCAAATGTTCTAATCTTCATGGTTATGATTGACAAGTATTGCTTCAAAGATTCTATAACTGAGGTACTCAGTATTTATTTGTATTTTGTCACATTGTTAGACATTTCAGTAAGTTTTTTAATTGATTACCGTACTCAACTTAGCCTTACATAAACAAAGGTGTTTTTTGTAAAAATATTAATAAAATATAAAGAAAGAAATTTGCTGATTTGATAAAAATATATCCATAAACAACAAACTACAACAGTTTACTTTTCTCCATAAGATTAACGTGGTAATTTCAAATGAATTTTAGGATTTTTCTCCGTAGCCTACTTTTAATCCTACCACAAAGCTTTATAACATAAGAAATTATTTGTTTTTATAGCCTACATGACGGTTAAATTAGAAATTGGGCATTTTTATGTTTTAAGGGTAAAAACGTGGAAAATCAATTTTGGAAAAATAGTAAAAACCTGATCCTGCTAGTTCTCGAATTTATCCAGGTGGATACATCCATGCCAAATTTCATCAAACCCGGACCAAAATTAGGTACTCAAGTTGAGTTACTGGAGTTGAGTTGTCGTGTTGATGGACACACACACACATCAAATGGAAAGTGAATCTGTCCCGGGCCCCCGGGCCTATGTCTTGCCGTGCTACCTACGGTAATAACTACTTACCTATAGAGAAATTCGCTTAAAGGACCAAAGTAAACATCTCTAAAGAGTAAAAAAATCTTCAAGCAAAGATGCCAAAACCGTTAATTAGATTGATATTTGTGTATTTTAAGATATGTTACTCAATTACACATGTTTAATTTGGATAAAAACCTTTTATAATTAGAAGATCCGTAAACTTCATCCAAAGAATTTAATTAGGATTTTTATAAATCAACTTTATGATTATTGTACCAATGGCATGGCATTGATGAAGTTGAAAGTTAAATGGCTCTCAATGTTTGGAAGGGAAACAGGTCAAGGTTCAATGCTCTTTGTCTGGCGATTCCAGCTCGGTCGGGGCCTGCAAACAAAAAGCAAAAAGGGTCCGGGGCGGAACTGGTCGGGTGTGTGTTCCCGGTGAAGGGGGGGGGGTGGATGCTAGGGTCCTCGTCCCTTGGCTCCTCGATTCCCCGGTCCTCGTTAAAGTGAAAGTTGCGAATTGGGCGGAAGCCAACTCGGACCAAACACGAACGCGGAAAATCCGTCCGAAATTACGATCGTTTAAAGCGTCGTTTGAATATAATACTAGAGTCAAACACATTTTGCTTATCAATTAATAGTTTCTTGTTTAGCATTTTACGTGGTGGCGTTATTATCCAAATGTATAAAAAATATGTACATCTTCGAACACTTTTCGATATAACTACACTTAACAGTAGTGTGTATTTCCAATATTTGCATGGAACCTTTCTTTGTTGACTATAGTTAACTTTGTTAGTTTGTTTATTAGTAAGTGCAACTGAACGATCATAAGACATAAGGCATTGATCTTTAGGCAATTACATGCAATCGATCGACAACGCCCCGCCGTCTCAAAAAACGAGTTGAATTTACCAGTAAAAGAAAACTTTTATTATTTTTGAATTTATTTTAAAATATAATTTTACTGTAACCACCTTAGCCATATGAAATTGAACAGTCAACATAGTATATAACCCTTACTATGAATTAAGCCGTTATAAAGATTAAATGATCCAATGAAAGTAGCCTAAGTAACTGACTATGTAGTCAGTAGTCTATGAATTAAACTACATACATAATTTTCACACGACTTTGCCTTTAGAATATCTTCCACCCAAGATTTACAAAATGAAGAATGTGTTTAAAATGCCCTCATACTCACATTGATTTTTACTTTCTCCCCCTATACCATAGTGTATGGAGAAAGTATGGTTTTCGTCAAAATTTTCGAATTTGAGTTTTGAGTTGTTATATAAGTTTCGGGTCCCCCTGAACCAAAAAATTGTGGTTTTATAGAAGTGGTGTCTGTGTTTGTGTCTGTATGTATGTGTGGATGTCTACAGAGCTACAGACCACATATGTAGTTCAATTTTGATTAAATTTGGTATGTAGGTGTGTATTGGTATTTGCGTATCCATGGTATCTCCAGCGGTTATTTTCATTTTTTTGAAATTTTGATTTTTAATGGCGATTTTCTCATAAATACACGTAAATAACGTAAAAATATAAATTTCTCAAAAATGGCCCGAACGATTTTAATACATATTTAACATGATAGTTCTGAACAAAATGGTACCACTCCAATTTCCGTATAAGTTATGGTTCAAAAGTGATTGTAAGTTATGTTATTTTCCTATAAAATAACGGAATATTCAATAAAAAAAAACACACAGTTTTGATTAAAGTTAGTCTAGTATGTTATGGTCCTTATAATTCTAAACATTAATGTACAACCCTTAATTGCTGTAAAAATTACGGTTCAAAAGTTATTGCAACTTTTGTGTTTTTCCCTTTAAAATATCATAGTTACTCCCACTGCTAACCCCATGATAATATAATATATGTAGTTATTGTTGACAAGCTTATGGGAGAAAGCGAATGGGAATGGGAGAAAGTAAGTCAGATTGCTGATACCGTTTATTAA